CAGACTGCCACCTGTCTGAAAAATGTTTAAAGCCCTTGTATATATAAATCATTTAATTGGTACAGAATAAAAAACTTAGGACAAATATCCAACCTACCAACCTTGAGTTCAGCTTTTAGCTTTGGTCGCATTTTAGGTTTGTGTGAGAGTAGAGGTCGGTGGAGGTGGAAGCTTATAATGGTCTTGGGCTTCTTGGCAACTATCGTCTCGGTTGCATCTTCCTTTGTAGGCGAGTGTTTCTTGGGACGACCTGGCTTGCGTTTCTTCGATGACGATGACGACTGTGGCTGCTGCTCTAGGTCTGATGGTGATGACTCTACAGAGGTTTCTGCTTGAAGGACTTTGAGCTCTTTACAAGACGAGTCACTAACAACATATTTTGCTTGCTCTTCTTCACTTTCTTCTTGTCGTGTTTCAGGTGCTGATTCTGGTAATTTGAATGGGGAGCCTAATTCTGGTGGTGGAGCATCTTCTGATGAGAGGGACCATCTCCTAGTTTTATCTTTATCTGTATCATCATCTCCAGAATCTTCTTTTTCAGTAGATACTTGCGTTTCAGGTGTCTTAGGCATTGAATCTTGGTTTCCATTATGGGTAATGTGAGTGGAAAATGTAGCAGTGAGAACCGGGGGTTTTAAAATGGATTTATTCATACATCGTGGTTCTTCCTTATCATCATCGCTATCTTTTGATAAATCTTTAATCTCCAGATCAGTAACTCTCTCAAGTATTGGAGGCGACAGTTCTTTCTGTGGTGATTTCTTTTTCTTATTTGGAGGTCGACCAACTTTTCTCTTTCCTGGTATACCATTGTTATGTATTTTTCTCTTGGGAGGTCTTCCTGGACCTCTTTTAACAGGACTAATAGTTATCTTTTTAGGCTGCAGGCGCGACAGTTCACGCTGCTTCTCCCTGTATTTTCTCTGCAACTCGGCTAACTGCATACGCATGTCCAGCTCAGCTGGATCCATTGAATCAACAGGAAAACCAGATGGTATCTTAAAGTCAAGAGCAGCATCTTTTTGGTACTGAGAGGCTTTATTAGCAATAAAAGCCTTTGCTTCACGCTCAGACTCCGGACTCTTATAATTTCTATTTACATCAGTGGTCTTAATAGGTGTGCTGAAAGAATTAGCAAGTGCTCCAAATGTAGTTGCACCAAATATAGCTGTACTAGTTCCACTCCCAAACGTTCTTCTGGGAGAATGTGTTAGATAACTTGGGCCTGGTTGTGGTGAATCTGTGTGACGTTCCTGTGGGTACATTGGAACACTTGGGGAAGTGGCTGCCACATCAGCCAAGGACGACAGGGCCGGGCATGCCACATGCTCCTCCTCCAGGATGCGCTGCTCAGCTAAGGCACATAGAAGGCTGAGGCCATGAAGGCCACTAAGTGAATCAGGCAAAGGTGAAGCAATAGGAGGGGTGGTGTACAGTGGTGCAGTATTTTCAGAAGCTGGTTGGCAAGGCATTTCTGTTGAATAAGATTGTACCAATTTTGGTAACTCATCTCTCACATCACACTGCATCTCTCCCTCTCCTGAAGACATTTCCCCTCCTGTACATGCTTCATCCACACCTGAAGACATTTCATCCTCAGTGGAACATACCTTATCTCTTCTTTCGAAACTGCTCTTTTCTTCGTCTTCGTCTTCCTCAGAAAGGTAATCATCTGTAAGTGAAGCCTCTTGCATTATTAATGAGCACTCACTTACAGAGGTTTTGTCGTGTGGTGAGGTAGGATACATATCTACTGATGCTCTATCTTGTACTGAATAGTTTAGATTTACAGAGGTTTCCTCTGGTTCTGATGAAGAGTATTCTTCTGGAGGTATTTCTGCATGTCTTGGAGATGAACATTTCGCTCTTTCATGAACATTCACTCTTTCTCGTGATGAGATACATTCATCTATGCATTCGTCATTCTCTTTTGAGGACAAGTTTTCATCTATATTTACATCTTGTAGAAAAGAAGAGGGTTTCTTTACATGTGCCTCCTCTTGTTGAAAAGAAACATGTTCAGCATGACTGTCCTCCTTTGGTGATAATGGACATTTGTCAACAGCAGTTTCATCTTCCTCCTCCTCCTCCTCCTCTGATAAATCTGATAATCGATTGGCATGTTGTAAAACACTCTGAGACAAAAGTTCCAGCCCACTTAAATCCATATATGATGGGCTCTGTGATGAAGCTTCTACTTCATCACAAGCTGTGCACGATACATGGTCATCCTCTGGATGCTCATCATGGTATGTTGTAGTACTGCTTTCTGGGTGGATAGCATCACCCTTGGGACCACAAGCAGGAGAACAGCTTTCTGGGTGGACAGCATCACCCTTGGGAACACAAGCAGTAGAACAGCTTTCTGGGTGGACAGCATCACCCTTGGGAACACAAGCAGTAGAACAGCTTTCTGGGTGGACAGCATCACCCTTGGGAACATAAGCAGTAGAACAGCTTTCTGGGTGGATAGCATCACCCTTGGGAACACAAGCAGTAGAACAGTTCTCTGTGTGGATAGCATCACTGTTGGGTGCACAAGCAGTTGAACAGCTCTCTGGGTGGATATCATCACCCTTAGGAGCACAAGCTGTACAACAGTTTTCAACTAGAGTTTCTGAACTATTTGTGACTGTTGATTGATTAGAATTTATTGAAGCTGGAGACTTCGTAGAATTCAGAGTGCAGTGCTTAGAAGTAATCACTCTTTGGGCTCCAGAACAGGTGGTAATATTACATTCCGAACAGTCAGTATTTGGAGATTCAGAACATTTGGTTGTTAGTGGTTCAGTAAAACACTTTACTGGAGTTCCATAGCAAGTAGTAGGTGAAGACTGATCGCAATTAGCAGCTGTCTGTTCAGAGCAGCCAAAGTCAGGGCAACCAGTCGATGATATATCAGAGCAATTCATGGTTGGCGACTTGGAATAGTCATCTGATGAAGATTCAGCACAGCTTGTAGTGGAAGTGTTAGGAGAGTTAATGGCAGGAGAATTTGTGCAGCTAGTTGAAGCTCTAGAACAATAATTATTAGCAGTAACAGATTCAGAACAAGCAGTAACAGATTCTGAGACAATAAGAGCTGTGTGTTTCAAGTAGTTAGTAGCTGGAGATTCAGATGAAATTGTTACAAACGGTTCACGAGTCAACATAGGCTGGGATTCTTGACTGCTTGTATCGGTGAGTCTATCAATTGTGAGAAGATTTTGGATACTTTGATAATTTGTGGGAGTACTTCCTTTGGGTGAGATTACTGGGTAGGAAACTGGTAAAGATTCAGAAGAAGACTGGCTATTTTGAGTCAGAAATCCTGTTGTAGAAGAGCTTTTTGCATCAGATAGTTGACTGTTTATGCAGCTACCAAATGCTTCTTTTTTAACTGCTGTGATGTGATTTTGAGACAGTTGCGCTTCAATTGGAGTCTCCCCAACACCAGGAGTACAGGCTTCATCTCTACTGGATCCTACAGGGGATGGGACCTCTTCCTTGATTTCTTGCTTAATTTTAAAAGGTACAGGTAAACACTGAAGATCCCCTTGAGGCCGAGATCTCGGTAAAGGCAGCTCCAAGTCAGGTTCTTCTTCTGAATGGGATGTAACATTGATTGGTTCAATGGATTCTGAGTGAGGAGTGGGTGAGCCTGTGGCCACCAACGCTTCACAACCCCGTGTCGAATAATGTGCCTCTAAACCAATACCCTTTTCCACACTAGTAACAGGAGCTGTCGGTAGGACTGAAAAAGTTGTTGTGAGGTCGGCAGGTGCAGTAAGGCTATTGGTCAGAGTTGTAGTTAAAGTAGCAGCTCGAGTTGACGTGAGGCTAGAGCCAATGGTTGTAGACGATTGGTGTGTGTAAGGAGGAAGGGAGTATGGTCCAGGATGGGTAGACTGTGGACAATAATATGGAAGAGAAGATCGAGGAGGATATATGAACGATGGAGGAAGATGACGTAGGCCAGTAGGCAAAGCTGATGACAGGTTCATTTCACTTCCAGGTGGTGCAGCCCCTTGGCCAGGAGGCGGCACACTGACTGGACGGCTTTTGGGATCTTCTTCAGGTGTTCCTGGTGTAAGTGGGTCTTCTCTCTTGATGGAAGGAGGGTTTGAGGCATGGACGGGTGGGTGTGGGTGGGAAACATGCAACAGAGCAGTGTGTGCATGGAGAGCACGATGGTAATGAGCATCAGGAAGCAGTAGCTGTTGGGGTGGTAAAACCACGGGAGAAGCAGCTGCTACACCTCCATATCCTGCCCAAACATAACTGTGACCACCATGGTCTGTGGAACAGAAATAATAATCACTCGGGGTATTGCTTCACAATTAATAAAGCACAAAAACATTATTGATAAATTTGTTCATGAACATGTTCAAACAAATATTTAAACTTATACTAAACCATGGAATAAATATATCCCAAGTATTAATAAAACAAACGCAAGTTGTATGGCAATATTAATATTAAATGAAATTTAAACGTTAAAGTAGAGTGCACCATCTTCTTCAGATACCTACCTGGTATTGCATGTGGGTGTGGCAAGAGATAGCAGTGACCACTCAAGGGGTCTCTGGCAAACTGGTAGCCCAAACCCATTCCTGCCCCGACGCCAGCATCCACTCCAACACCTGCCAGTTCATCATCAATGTTTACATATCCCTACAAAGACTGAATAAAATATAAGACTCAGACACTTCAGATGTACAATATCCAAATAAACAATACTTGCTTTATTATGAAAGAAATTATAACCGGTGAGATTTTAGCTCATTCGTAATAGCTACTGTGCATAGACAAAAGCAATATTGCCCAGTAACATCTTCATTTGGGCATAAAACTTGTAAAGGCACTGCAGAAATCTTTGGCCCAGGAAAATCATACAAGTACGTAGTCTGGCAGGGTCAAATAAAAATTTAGTAGTCTACTCTAAGTTACACGGCTCCAAAGCCCGCGCGTTTGATTAGTGTTGCTGGCTCTTTATTTATTTAATGGTTAGCTCTACTCATTACTTATCCAACAGATGGATAGTGTTGCTGATTTCTTACCAATGAGATGGATAGTGCTGCTGGCACACTACATGCTCACCTAACTGCTTGCAGGACTGACCTTCATCTCTTTTGGTCCTGTCTCTCAAAATTCAAATGGCAGGTAATTACCTAAGTGCAGCTACAGGATGAGAGCTACACATGTGATGTCCCGTCTTCCCGGCACTCTTTGTCATGTAACGCTTTGAAACTACAGATACTGACGGTTTTGGCCTCCACCACCTTCTCACTTAACTTGTTTCAACTGTACTCACCTATTTGTGCTTGCCAGGGTTGAGCTTTAGCTCTTTGGTCCCAGTTCTCAACTGTCAATCAACTGGTGTACAGATTCCTAAGCCTACTGGGCTCTTATCATATCTACATTTGAAACTGTGTATGGAGTCAGCCTCCACCACATCACTGCCAAATGCATTCCACCTGTTAACTACTCTGACACTGAAAAAGTTCTTTCTAACATCCCTGTGGCTCATTTGGGTACTCAGTTCCCACCTGTGTCCCCTTGTTTGCGAACCACCAGTGTCTACCACTCTGTTTGCAAAAGTGACCTTTATGATTTTTGGGGAGAGCTTGTTTCCTTAGTTTGGACCTATGTCCTCTTGTTCTTGAGGTTGCCGTTTTAAAAAATGGTTCATTGTTAATTTATCAATTTCTATTACTATTATATAAGTAGTATTTATACAGAGAACACTGTATAAACATCAGAGGTGTTTGTGTGCAAATAATGATTTTTCAGCTGATAGTTTTTTATCTAGAACTACCCCCCTAGATCTCTTTCTTTATCAGAATTCTTAAAAGCTTTTTCACATAACTTCTAGGTTGTGTGTGTGGCACAGATTATCAGGCTAACAGTGCTCACCATGCCTGCCATTCCAGGCAGGTCGTGCCATATGGACAAGTCTCCTTACACCCATTGCCTCTTGCTCACCTAGCAGTGATTAGGAGCCTGGGTGTTAGTCGACTGTTGTGGGTCTCATTCTGGGAAATGATCAAATTCTGCATATATCCCAGGCATACTCGAATTTCCCACAAACAACGCATACCTGGAGTATACCTGAAGAGGGTTTTGGGAGTTCTTCTACTCCCCGAGCCCAGTATGGGGCCAGGCTCAACTTGTGGTAACTTGGTCTAACAGGATGTTGCTTGGAGCGGCCCGCAAGCCCACATATTAACAACAACCTGATTGGTCCGGCACTTCTTGCAAGAACCTGTTCAAGTGCCTCTTGATTACATCCACCTTCGATCTGGCAATATTTCTAATGCTTGCTGGGAGGGTGATGAACAGCTGTAAAACCCCTGATGTTCAGACAGTATTCTCTGATTGTGCCTATGACACCTCTACTCCTCACTGATTCTATTCTGCATTTCCTTCTGTACCTTTCGTTCCGGTATGTTGTTATTCTACTGTGCAAATTTGGGACCTGGCACAGCATGAGGAAAAAGTAGCCAAAACGCTAACACTTAAAGTGAAACATGCTGCAAGGCAAAGAAACTTAGAGTCGCAAAGCTACTACAAAGACTGGGCCGGAAGGTCCCAGAATCCAAACAAGGGTTCACGCCTGAAGTCAAAGGGTGAATTCATGCCTAAAGTCAAAGGGTGAATTCACGCCCAAACACGTTAACTCTCCAGACAATAAGTCAGTATGTCACAATAACAATGAATAACACTGCTGAAAATTAGCAATGTTATTTGCCAATTCACAATAACATTGCTGAAAATTAGACACCCAAGCCACAAATCTGAAAACAAAGACAACTACAGTACAGGTAATGACATTTTGGTCTGCCTTCTTAATTATACAACTTTATAATGGTCCAGGATGGACCGAAATGTCATCAATTCCTTTATTTTCAGATACTATGAGTTGGGTGTCTCCCAAGTTCTATTTATCCACTTCACTGCATAGTACATTGCATTTGTTCAATATTCTGTATTTTGAATATTTCTGGAATTTCTTGGGTGATTATATTTGCAAGTTTACATTTTACCTAATTTACATATTAACACTTTCACGCTCTCGGCGCTCAAAAAAAAAAACAATACCCCAGATGCTTTCGGCACTTCGCGCGCCTACGCGGTAAAACCGAAAAGTGTACACTCTTTTGACTGTCCTGACAATAATTGAAGGCGCACGTATTTAAATTTGGTATCACTGTGTTCGCAATGAAATTGTCTATAAGAGCATACCTATAAAATGCCGCCCAAGCATAAGGAGTATCAACACCAAATAAAAAACTATGCAGATCACTCGCCGAGAGCGCCAAACAGCAACATAATGTTTCCACTCTCTTAATGGTTGCGAAGCCTACAGTTGTCCTACATCGCTAATTTTGGTATCATTGGAATCGCAATAAAATTCTCTACACGGACATATGCATATGAATGTTTAATATAGGTAATTGCCCACCCGCAAGAGTGTGTGAAGTGGAGAGTAGTTAGCCGCGAGCGCACTAGCGAAAACACAGGGGGGAAATCATGCTTGGAAAGTTTATACGTTTCCTGACCCTACTTTTCTATGTACGTATTTCTTTTTTATACCAATGTGTTCGCAATAAAATTTTCTATAAGATGAACTGTATAACATTTGTACAAAGCATGTGTAAAAGAAGCGCCAAATATAGAACCACGTCGCTCAGTATGCGTTCGCGGCAGAAACGAACGCATTGTTTTCGTTCGTTTGATGTTTGTCATGTTTATACTTGTTGAAACATTTTATAATTTGTACGACAGTGATCACAGTAAAATTCCCTACACAGACATATACATAACACATACAAATATTTCCCACGTGTTGGATATATCAACGGCTAAAGGGAACCCACTGCCACACGCTCGCCACACCCCCAAACATACTTTGTGTATTTTTTTTTTTACTCATAGAAGTTTATGTGATATAATATTCATTCTGGTACCAAACAATTCGCAAATAAATTCTCTACAAAACAAAAGTATCCCCATCCATTTCGGTTAAAAAATGGAATTTATAGAAATATTTTTTCGATGGACGAGAAAAGTAGGCTGTTATGCGGAATCGTAAGAAAAAACGGCGACGAGTTATCTCTAATCTAAAGCGCGAAAGTGTTAACATACATCCCATGTATGTAAATATGTAAAAATATGTAAAATATATATTATTGGCAGGTTCGAAGTTCATACTTTGTTTGATTATCTTGGTTTACCTGTACTACAGTATACCAAATGCAGCATAATAGAGATATGAACATTGTGTGAGGAGCCTGTTTTACACTTTCCAATTTCAGAATTGTTTTTAAATACTGTATATGAATGACAAAATACTAAAAAAATTGTTCACGACCTTTGTGAGACCAAAGTTTGAATATACAGCTGTTGTATGGTGCTCATATCTTATTAAGAAGCACATCAACAAACTGGAAAAGGTGCAAAGACATGCAACTAAATGGCTTCGGTAACTGAAAGGCAAGAGCTATGAGGAGAGGTTAGAGGCATTAAATATGTCAAAGCTAGAAGATAGAAGAAAGAAAAGAGGTGATATGATTATTACATAGAAAATAGTAATGGGAATAAACAAAATTGATAAAGAAGAATTCTTGAGAACTGGAACTTCAAGAACATGAAGTTTTAAACTAACTTAACAACACTGCTGGAAAAATGTTTTGCAAATAGAATGGTAGACGGTTAGAACTAATTAAGTGGTTGAGGTGGCTGAGGACAAAACTGTAAGTAGTTAAAAATGTTATATGACAATGAGTTCTGGGAAGACTAGACACTATGAGCATAGCTCTCATCCTATAACAACACTTAGGTAATTACACTTGGGTAATTACTCTTATGTTTCCTCTTTGCTGATAGATTTAGGTGGAGATCTTACAGATTCCTGTTGTTGCTCCGTCACCGCCTTTTGTGTCAGATTTGTTTGTTCGTCTGGATCTGTGCTTACAACTAGATGGATCTGTGATCCACTTAACTCATTACCTCCCTTTAAAACTATTTTGATTTTATAGTCCATTTGTCCCTCCGCATACCCGGGTGTTCTTTACATTTTGGTTTGCATTTCTCTGAAATTTCTAAGCATGCAGTAATGAGGAAAATCCTATGCACTGCAGAAGAAATATTTTATGAAAATGCAGTTACTGTGCAGTATTCTCATTGTAAATCCAGTATAGCGAGTTATCAGCCATTCCTTTCCCTTAAAGCAACTGGAAGATTGACATTTAATGTGTGTGACTGCAGAAAAAAAACACAATTGACAATTTGGGCACTTTTGTTGCATTTCATACAGATATGGCTATGGCTATAGTTGTTTTTTCCAAAATTATTATATATATATATATATATATATATATATATATATATATATATATATATATATATATATATATATATATATATATAATTTTATATATATATATATATATATATATATATATATATATATATATATATATATAAATATAAATATATATATATATATATATATATATATATATATATATATATATATATATATATATATAAATAATTGCTGTGGCCCTCCGCCTTGCTGCCCCAATCCACACCAGATATAGGTGTATTTGCGGCGAGGTGGTGGCTGACAGGTACGGTCACCATGGCCTACTCTGCCAAAGCACAGGGGGATGGCACTCGAGGCACAGTGAAGTTAACGACATCATCAAGAGGAGCCTCACCACAGCTGGATGCCCAGCTGAAAGAGAGCCCTGTTACCTAACGCCCCGTAACTCTGATGCTCTTATTGGTCGCCCGGATGGTATCACAGTGAACCCCTGGAAGAATGGCAAGCAGTTGGTATGGGACTACACGTGCGTATCAACCCTGGCTAACACCTATATTAACCTCAGTGTTGCACAACCAGGTGGCGCTGCCACCCACAGGGAAGCAGCCAAATCCCGTAAGTATAGAGAACTGGATCACCACTACAATTTTGTCCCCATTGCTTCTGAGACGCTCGGCGCCTGGGGTAAAAGTGCTACCAGTTTTTTGAAGGAACTGGGTTCTAGGCTCATTGAAACAACAAGGGACCAGAGAGCTGCAAGCTTTCTTTTCCAGCGCCTCAGTGTGGCGATACAGAGGGGAAATGCGCACTGCATCCAGGGTTCCTGCCCGCCATCTGAGGAGCTGGAGGAACTCGACAACCTATGACAACCATCTTTGTAACCCATATGTAACTCCTTTTTTGTAACAAAGTTCAAATAAAGTAAATATATATGTGTACATACAAAAGAATGGGGGTGGTAGGAGAAGATAATATTAGTGTTCAGTGAGAAACCACAAGGTCTCCTCTGAATACTTTTTATTTTCTTCTCCGAGGCTATGGGTCCCCACATTGGCACCAGAGGTGGTACCCTCACAAACTATTTTATATATATATATATATATATATATATATATATATATATATATATATATATATATATATAAATATACAGTATATAAATTATATATATATAATATATATATTATATATTAGAATTAAATTATGAGAAAATAAATACTGCAGTTTGATTCTGCCATACCCCATGGATCTTACTTAAGATTGTAATGATTCTTACCAGAAAACTGACTCTGGGTCAGCCAAAATGGTGCTGTTGGAATTCCAGGAGTGCATGGTGTTGGAGGAAGCGGCCAGTGAGTGGGCATAGTGGTTCCTCCTGGGGAACTACCCCCAGATGTTAATGGTCCAGTCAGAGGATCATCTTGTGGCCGTGATTCCTGACGCTGACGGGCATGAGCAATACCCACTGGAATACCTCCTCCAGCTGAAAATATAGTATAGATCATTGAAGCAACAGAAATAGCATTATGTACGGTATAAATGCATACTGTACTGCACTACAAACAATATAGAGATAATATACATGTGAAAACTTTTGAAAAGTATGTAATGTCACCTGTTACAGTAACAGTAGAACGTTCTTCAGAGCGCACAGTTTTTCGAGACGTTCGAGTCGAATCGCCAGCAGCAGCAGTGGCAGGGGGAGCCACACGGGGAACAGCCAATTGTGTTAATGCCACAATTGGTGGGCATGAGCTTGGTGTTGCATCACCTACTGAGATTGGTGTATTAGTAGGTGATAAGGAAGGTGTAGGTGAAAGAATATGGGAAGGTATAATTAAGGGTGAAGTGTGAATTCTTGTTCGGCGTTCCTGGGCATATGCCTGCAGAAGGCCAGGAGTGGTACGTGAACATTGATCACCCATCAGAGGAGCTAAACGATTTCTTTTTGCTTCTTCACTGCCATCACTTGGCGCTTTTAGTCTTTCAATTTCCCCTACATTACCTCGTGTGCTTGTTTCTTCTGTACCATCTACGGAAATGCAAAGACGAAAAGAAAAATCAATAACTTTAAAGAAATAAAAGTTGTCGAAAAAATGTGAAAAAGTATCAAATAAAACAGTAGGGATACCTCACTTTCATTTAAAAAGCAACAATTAACATTCATACTAACACTAGTTTGTACAATATATATGTGAAATTATAGGTACAACATGCTGCTATTAGCAAACTAAAGTGAATACCATCAAGTAACTGAATATCAACAAAACAGAGAAAGCATGCAGGTAAAAATTAATTCCTACTTAAGCAAGCTAAGACATAGGATACATTGTCAGAAGACAACTGAACATGATGAAGATAATACGGAGAAAAGCACTAAAAAAGGTGATCGAGTATATTCTTTTTATCAGCTAGACCTCCACTCAGGTCGGGTGCTGGAAAGTATTTATTAGCCAGCCCATACTTTGGCTGAGTTACTATTGCTGGATATCTGTGATTTACATGAAATTTTAGAAAACAAAAAATGACTGAGGAGTGATAGAAATGCATTCGTGCAATTCATAATGTACAAGATGTAAAATGACTGAGGAGTGATAGAAATGCATTCGTGCAATTCATAATGTACAAGATGTAAAATGACTGAGGAGTGATAGAAATGCATTCGTGCAATTCATAATGTACAAGACACAGGAATAATTACAGGAATACTATAACATAGGGCAACCTCTAATATCCACACTTCTTTATAACACGGTCTACCTATGTACAGATTTCTCTCTCCAATCCACTATCTGGACTTTGGATTTTAAATCAGCAGTAACATCATATAGATGTCACTGCATCATATCTGGAAAAATAGTTATTTCCAGATCATTTTTGCTCACTATTTTCACTATTCTTGTTCTTTTCGAAGTAAATTTTTTTACTGGCCAAATACTGTAGTATAAATGGTAAAATACTGTATAATCAATATACAGTACTGTATATAATGTATTATGCAGAGGAAGCCCAGTTAATGGTCACATTCATACTATGTGATCTAATCTGTGCAGGCAGCACTTGCTCAAAGAAATATTGATGTATTTTTCTTTTGATATTTAACCGAGTAGAAAAAACACTCTGCTAGCAACAGTAGTCTTGCTAGACTCTGTAGGCAGATGAATATGTATAATAAAATAGAAAAAAAAGAGAATATCATACAGTATACTCTTGACATACAAGTGATCATAGCTGGGTGTGGGGATGCCGACACGCAAGTTAGCCATTGGACTGTTTGACAGGGAAAAAAAAAAATAGCTCAGGTGGTAAAAAAAAAAAGATTGAGAATGAAATTGTCAATGGCTCAACTATTTATGAATTGGGTCAATCAATTTACAAGTAGTATACTGTTGTGAGCAATAAGACTCATCATGATGATTATATGGGTAAGCAAAGATTCAGATTTTATTTTGAGTTACAATACTATTATACAGTCTAAGAAAATACTGGCTTATGTGTGATTTGTGTTTAAATATATACAGAGATGTGTTCTATCATTTGCTATAAAAAAAATGTTAAAACATTTGCTGATAGCAAAAAAAAAAAAATTGAAATCTAGATTATTTGCAAATCCAGATCAGGTCAGGAATGATACAGTCAGGGTTTTAGAGTTGCCACTGCATAGTTATATACAGCTATTAAGGGCTTATATCAAGCCAAGAATTACCATGCAATATGCTTAGTACAGTACTTTGATTTTACAAAGTTATCCAGTGTCGCAACATTGGATAAGAAATTTACCATGAAAATGATAGTCCATTTTTTTTTTTTTTTAAGCAAACTAATGCTAAGGACAGCATTTGTAGATAAAAGAAGAAGCATAGAGTTAAAATTACCTGTACTGGAATAGAGAAGGGCCATCAGAAGTGACGAAAAATTACTACACAGAAAGCTACATGCACATGCCGAGTCATAATAAAAATAAGAGCAGTTTGAAGTTGAAAGTGTGATAACACAAAGGGTAGATAACAAGTAATTTATTAATCAGCAGATAACATAAGGTAATCAAATCAGAAAATAATTGGAAAAAGTTGACATTATTGCAAGCATTGTTGACATGCTGTCTGTACCATATGATGGAATTTTATAATACAGTACTTTATAATAAATACTTATAATACTTTTTCCCAATAATTTTCCAATGTAATGTCATTTGTTAAAATAATAATTGACTCAGCTGAAGTTTTTTAGAAGGGAAGTACAGTAGCAGAATGTGAAACATGATTACGAGATATGCAGTCAGTGAAGATCAAGCCATTCAAGAGTTTATGGAATGCAGTACAGTACTTTCCCTGGAGAAGTGGGTACCAAGATATCAGTGTGTGTGTGTGTGTTTCTGACTAGCAGACATTTGGTAGGAACTTTAAGCGGTGTGATGTAAGAGGCAAGCTGAAATTATCACGAGTGTGTGTTAAGCAAGTATGGCTACTTGCCATACCTGCTTAACACACTTGCTTTCTCTGTGGGTGGAAAAAGAATGAATGAATAAAGGGAAGAATGGGGCTCACAGGTACACAGGTATGAACATTTAATGATTGACAAAACAAGATGATAAAGGAAGTGAATGAGTGGAGGGGGGGGGGGGGGGGAACACTCTGAGATCAACTGTTAGATGAGAAACAATACTTGCTATAAATGATAAAATAATGTACTGTATTGTAAAATAAAACAAAAGAATACAGAAAACTACTGAAGACCTATTGGCCTATATGTAGCATTCCTAACTACTATATTCCCCCCCCCCCCAAACTCATTCCTATAAATGTCAACCTGTGCTTGAAAGAACCCAGCAGTCCCAAGTCTATGGTGTTACCCAGTAATTTGCTCCATAAGTGAAAACCCGTTTTCAAACCAGTATCACGGCAGGTTTCTCCTGTATATAATTCTCCAATTAATATCCATTGCTTTGGAGTTCATTTTGTGTTAATGTATTTTAAAAACTTTGTTTATATAACCTTTTATCCATGTACAGTATATACTTCAATTAACAGCATGCCTTATTACTCTCTTTTTCTAGAGACAATAAATTACACTTTTTTTTTTAAATATCTCTTTATAAGACAGCTGTCTAATTCCTGAGATTAGCATTATCATCATTTTCTGTATGCTTTCAAGTGAATTAATGTTTATTCTGTAGCACAAAGACCAAAACTGAACTGCATAATCTAAATAGGACCTGACAAGGGCAAGATAAGATAATGCTGAAGAATATTATTATTTGTCTTATTCTAATACTTCTGAAACTACTGATGTATCAAAATGTGATTCTAACCCACTTTATTTTAAATATTTGTACCGTATATTAAAACTTAAGTCATAGTGTTTATATCCATCAACTTTAATGATTGAAGACTCATTTCTATTGGCAGCATTTATGAAGATTCCAAATAGCCCTAATCATTAATATCAAGAGGGAAATATAGATGGCCAAACAAAATATTGAATAACATATCACTGTAAATACAATGTTGTATATCAATCAGTATACATTAACTATCTTCAGGTAGGTACATACTTGTATACTGCTTATCTGCATTCAGGTTCTTTTCTGCTATATCCAGTGAATCATGGCCAGTGCTTGCTCTGTGGATATGTTTATCGCTGACATGATGAGGACTGTGCTTACCCTCAAAGCCCACATTGGACTTAAAAGGAAGCCGGGTGACTGGGACCGAATTTTCTAAGCAACTGGACCGCTGGGAAATACGTGGAATTGCAAGTGATGACTGAACTTTCTGAATTTCTAAAAACAAGTTCGAGGATGGGACTGATGCCACAAGGTGGCTAGTATCTTGAGGCTTTAGAGAGATAGCAACTGAGGTGTCATGATGGCTGGGTTCACAAGGCTTCTGTGAAAATGAGGATTCTTGACTCTGATTTGCTCTATATGTGTCTTTTTCTTTTGCAGGTACATTATTAATATTAGAGGTTTCAGATTCAGGCAAACATAAAGGAGATGGTGATGTTCTGTCCATGACTTGCATACAAGTTGTTTCTTCACTAATATTTTTTGCACAAGCGAGTTTCATATTTGAAGTTCTTTGAGTGTTTTTACTGTCATATATCTGTCCACCCTTTGCACTTCGAACACCACCTTCCTTCATGTCCTTCTTTCCTTGCACCTCTTCTTTGGCACTTTTAACACTAAGGTTTATTGTCACAGCACTCTCCTGCTCAGCTGAAAAATTGGCATGGCCATTAACCTTCGAGTTGGGCAGGAGTACGTCCCTTCTACTTGGCTTTAGAGTCCGAGGACTGGTTACTGTGACCTTTAAAGTCTTATTGTCCTCACTAAGTGGAACTGGAGACTTCATTGACAGGTTATATACTTCAGGACTTTTCCCCTCAACTACACCATCGACACTACCCACGCACTTGGTGGCAGGCACAGTCGCAGGCATAGGGAGGATGGACTTGTTACAGCTGGGAGGGGGAGCCGATGCTCTCGGTGTACTGCCCAAGATTGGGGAGGACATCAGCTGTCCACTGGGTAAAATTGGTGGGAGGGCACCAGCTAATGCACCATCTGTCAAAAGAAAAACTTATTACAAAAAAGTGAATATTTTTTACTTGCTATTGCAAGTAAAATGCAAAAAGCATTTCTAACACTAGAGAAAGAATTTCAAAATACTGTGAGGGATGGGCTACTTGCAACAACTTAAAGCAATATGGCTTTTGGTTTGAAGTAGAGTACCTTTCTTTATGCGGGATATTCAAACCCCGGTAAATATAACTGATATAAACACGAGCGCACTAAATTTTGAAAAAGAAATTGAAAACATGCCCATGCACTCGGCCCCAGGTCCAGACTCATGAAATTCAATATTTATAAAGAAATGCAAAGTGCCGGTAGCACAGGCACTCAGTATAGTGTGGAGGAAGAGCTTGGACACGGGGGAGATACCAGATGCACTTAAAGTAGCAGACATAGCCCCTCTACACAAGGGAGGGAGCAAAGCATTGGCAAAAAATTATAGACCAGTTGCACTAACATCGCACATCATAAAAGTATTTGAGAGAGTGATTAGGAGTCAGGTCACCAATTTCATGGAGACCAATGACCTTCATAACCCAGGCCAACATGGATTTCGAGCGGGAAGATCGTGCCTCTCACAGCTACTTGAGCACTACGACAAAGTCACTGAGGCATTAGAAGAGAAACAGAATGCTGATGTGATATACACGGACTTCGCAAAGGCCTTCGATAAATGTGACCATGGCGTGATAGCACACAAAATGAAGTCAATGGGAATAACCGGTAAAGTAGGACGCTGGATACTCAGTTTTCTGTCAAACAGGACTCAGCGAGTAACTGTCAACCATATAAAATCTAGTCCAAGTGCAGTGAAAAGCTCTGTACCTCAGGGTACAGTCCTTGCACCACTGCTTTTCCTTATTCTCATATCAGATATAGACAAAAATACAAGTCACAGCTTCGTATCATCCTTTGCAGATGACACAAAAATCAGTATGAAAATTACCTCGGCTGAGGACATTGAAAATCTTCAAGCTGATATTAATAAAGTTTTCGACTGGGCATCAGAAAATAACATGATGTTTAACAGTGATAAATTCCAGGTACTCAGGTACGGTAAAAATGAGGACCTTAAACATAATACAGAGTACAAAACACAATCAAATGTACCCATAGTAGGAAAACAGCATGTAAAGGATTTGGGAATAATAATGTCGGACGACCTAACGTTTAAGGAGCATAACCAAGCAAATATTGCGACAGCCAGAAAAATGATAGGATGGATTACGAGAACTTTCAAATCCAGGGATCCCATCACAATGGTTGTACTCTTCAAGGCACTTGTGTTGTCCCGTCTTGAGTACTGCTCAGTACTCACTTCCCCCTTCAAAGCAGGAGAGATTGCTGAAATAGAGGGAATACAGAGAACATATACGGCACGCATAGACGCAATAAAGCACCTAAATTATTGGGATCGTCTCAAAGCCCTCCAAATGTACTCACTAGAAAGAAGACGAGAGAGATATCAAATAATATACACCTGGAAGATACTGGAGGGCCAAGTACCAAATCTACACAGTAAAATAACAACGTACTGGAGTGAACGACATGGAAGAAAATGTAGAATAGAACCAATGAAGAGCAGAGGTGCCATAGGCACAATCAGAGAACACTGTATAAACATCAGAGGTCCGCGGTTGTTCAACGTCCTCCCAGCAAGCATAAGAAATATTGCCGGAACAACCGTGGACATTTTCAAGAGGAAACTAGATTTATTCCTCCAAGGAGTGCCGGACCAACCGGGCTGTGGTGGGTATGTGGGCCTGCGGGCCGCTCCAAGCAACAGCCTGGTGGACCAAACTCTCACAAGTCGAGCCTGGCCTCGGGCCGGGCTTGGGGAGTAGAAGAACTCCCAGAACCCCATCAACCAGGTATCAACCAGGTAACCTTAACCATAGGTAAAGGGAACTACAGTAGTTTACCCCTATACAGTATACAGTACTATTTTCAGTTATATTGAAAGTAATTACCATCATGCATTTTAAAATTTAAATTTCTTATGTACTAGATAACATAAATCTAAAATCTTAGTGAATGTTAAACCTACCATTTAAAAACAAAAACCCCAGGTATTCACGTAGTAGGAACACATGCTGTACATGGTCAAGGTTCTAGTGCTATCTATGCTGAAGAACTCAGCATTATGTAAGCTTTGTTACTTTCTACAACATTAATACAAGATGGTTCCTCCTAAAGGTAAGCGTGTACTGAATATGTTTAGTTTTAAATGTCTGAGAAATAAATATTTATCTTCATATAAGCCATGTTTAATATAAAGCACAGTAATGCAATTGTTCTGAAATTAGTGTAAACACAGTTGCATGCACAGATTTGCATCTTTGCATAAACTCTCAAATTTTGTATTTCTATAATTTAGAATGTGGGATACAGTATTTAATATTTTATATTTACACACATTCCATATAGATTTTATGAATTTAAATTTGATGATTTTATGTACAAATCAATATTTACCAAATGCATAAATTAAGAGCAATTTATTGCCAATCAACAAAAATCTAGATTTATGTTCAATAACATCCAAGATTAACCAACATTAATAATAGTCAAGAAGTTTACTTATGGATTCAGAACAACATTTTACTATACGCTATTATTTCTCTCTATAGTAGTTTGTTATTAAAAAAAAAAAAAAATTACACCCACGGCAAAAATAAATAATTTTCAGAGAAAACACAAAAAGGAAAAATATTACTTTAAGTACTGTATAGTACTGATCAAAGGCTTCCCAAGGTTTACGAGGAAAATTCATTTACCTTTTAGTAAAAAAAGGTATTAGTAGCAAACTCACAAACACTATATAAATATAGTGTAAATAACACGCGGGACTTGCAAAATGAGACTTACTAAGTATATTACTTAGGAATTATTAACCTTGTGAAGGTTGGGTGAAGGAATAGTTTTGGTTTAAAATAGAGAAAATACTTATGATAACTGATGAATTAAATGTTACAGAACTTTATTAAGCATAAGGGGAAAACAGCTGAAAAAATTTACTAAGGAAATTCATTTTTGTTTAGCAACTCTACTAAAAAAGCATGACATTATATATATATATATATATATATATATATATATATATATATATATATATATATATATATATATATATATATATATATATATATATATATATATATAATTTTATGTACGTTTTAGTTCTATACATAAATATATAATTAATTAATTTGAAATATCATGGAATCTATATATCTAACAATGAGAGAAAAAAAGGTATAAAAATAAAGAAAGAAAATGATAAAAATACATAAATTAAAAAACAAAAAATGGCAGGCCACGAAGACAGAAAAATAGGGAGATAACAAAAAAAAGTTGGGTGTAACCTTTCTGTTGGACGCATAACGCATGGAGCTGCGCTAGGACGGCATGCGTAGGCACAACTCCTGCCATGGGCGCGGTGATGGGCGGCGGGGCGGGTGGTGACATGGGCGGCGGGGCGGGGTGGTGGTGATGGTGGTGGTGGCTGCCAGGTGGTGGTGGGGTGGTGGTGGTGGTGACGGTGGTGGCCGTGGCTGACACCGCCAGCAGAGAGTATAGTCCTGCGTATGGCCCCAACCCTGCAAGAATACATACATATACACGCTGTTAGATGTCTTAGTGGGAGGGTTTTATACAGCCCCCAACCCTGCAAGAATACACAGTATACATATAGTTTATACAGCCCCAACCCTGCGAGAATACACACAGTATACATATAGTTTATACAGCCCCAGCCCTGCAAGAATACACACAGTATACATATAGTTTATACAGCCCCAACCCTGCAAGAATACGCACACAGTATACATATAGTTTATACAGCCCCAATCCTGCAAGGAATACACACAGTATACATATAGTTTATACAGCCCCAACCCTGCGAGAATACACACAGTATACATATAGTTTATACAGCCCCAACCCTGAAAGAATACACACGGTATACATATAGTTTATACAGCCCCAACCCTACAAGAATACACACAGTATACATATAGTTTATACAGCCCCAACACTGCGAGAATACACAGTATACATATAGTTTATACAGCCCCAACCCTGCAAGAATACACACAGTATATATATAGTTTATACAGCCCCAACCCTGCAAGAATACACACAGTATACATATAGTTTATGCAACCCCAACCCTGCAAGAATACACACAGTATACATATACTTTATACAGCCCCAACCCTGCAAGAATACACACAGTATACACATAGTTTCAAGACTACATAGTTTCAAAGCGTTATACGACAAAGAGTGTTGGGAAGACGGGACACCACAAGCGTAGCTCTCATCCTGTAACTACACTTAATTACACAGTCCCATGTCTCAGTAGGAGTATTATACACGGCCCCTGTGTATGGCCCCCAACCCTACAAGAATACACACAGTCAAACCTCTAAGAGTACTTACTTCCAAAAGTTGTTAAAAGGAGTACAACGTTTGGAATACAAATTTACAACCTATTTATGTAACAATACCTAAAACTGCATTTACTTGCATAATACACATGTAATACTATCCACATCTGGAATGTAAAGATAGAAGTATAATACAGAAAAAATGTAAAATGTAAATGTAATGTAATAAATGAATGTAAATGAATGAATGTAATGTAATAAAAATGAATGTAATGGTAGAATAGTATAATACAGAGAAAAAAATATTACTAAATACACACTTTTATTACACACTTCACAATTGATGAAGCATGGTTATAGCCCCTGCTATAGCGTAGTCAATGATGCAGGGGCTCATTGACAACCCCTGCATCAATGCAGGGGTTGTCAATGATACGCATCAATGATACATATTAGGCTACATGGAGCTCTGGTATAATAATATGGCTTGTTGATATCTAGATTTTGTCGTTAATTTGCTCTCATCACACCTCTTAAATGCTTTACCCCATGCATTATTAGTGTAACTATACACAAAATTACAATATACATTAATATATACAGTACAGTATTCTATAGACTAAAAATGTATTAATGTATGTTTGGGGTCGGTCACAACTTTGACTACCACAGCTCGAGGGTAGGCTTTTATATGCATAGAATCATGAGATAATATTCTTATAACTTTTTGGTATCTTTGCTGTTCAGTGTTCTCTAATCGTGTCATCTTCACTGTATTTATTCAAAAATTAACATAAACTATATAATAAAATATAATATATAAACATATATTCTAGTTTAGATCTCTCCCTCTGACTGTAAAGGTAATAATGTTAGCGGAGAGCAAGAGTGATTTTTAAGAGTAAAATCATACACAGATAAATTACATTATCGTCATATATTAATTTGAACATTTCACAGGAGCCCCTGATGAGGTTTCGAACCTATGGGCTGGGGTGTCCCCCTTAGATGCACGCTCTAAACCAGTACGCCACGATTTGCTCGATTATGTCGAGGCATAGCGCGTTCATCTGGGGTATACCCAACGCATAGGTTCGAATCTTCATCACGGCTTCTGTGAATTTTCTCAGTAAAATCGTTGTGGTTACTTGTGTAAAGGAAGAAATGTATATGTTTATCTCTCAGAATGTTCGGTAATACGTTTATTGCTTGTGATGTGTATCTATGTACGTATTAACACGATGTACTGAACGGGGTGAGAATAGCTTGAGCTACCTCATCCCTTTGTGTGTATTTTACCTCAATAAACTTATTTCAATTTCAATCGTTGTGGTGGTATCCGTCGACTTAAAAGGTTCTTGTAAAATATTTTCCATAGTGATGCTAAATTTACCGTTATAACTACTGAACGTTGGGTCGTTGTACATCATTCAAATAAGTGTATTGTGGTATAAATACACACAAAGGGATGAAGTAGCCCAAGCTATTCTCACCCCATTTTAACATCAATATTTCTAGATCTTTCTTAAGTTCCTTTAAAAGCCGACTGCTCTTATATCCTGCACCCAATTTTATTCTTGTTTTCATAACCGTGCTAAAGTACTTGAAATTTATCATTATTAAATATATATATATTCCGCTACCCACTGAAACACCGTCAATAAGTGACCTCTCTTGTTTAAAAGATTGTTATCCAATCAATTGATTTACTTTATTGTGTTCTTGAAAAGCTCCCAGTATTTGTATTCCCAGTATGCTGTATAGTGTGGTATTACTGCATTTTCTTTGTGATTTCAGTTTGAATTTCTTCAGTTTTCCGTAGCGCAGGAGCTGGAACTTTGCTTTACTACATATCATAGTGTTTTCCAACCCCTATTAATAGACGTGGTTTACATTTGTTTAGAAGGTGTGTGTGTTGTAGTTAGGACTACCTATACAAATTCTGAAATGGATGGCATGGCGCTGTAGTTCGTGTATTTACATATTCGTACTTTGAAACGTGGATACAGTCTAATGTAGTTGACTGTAGCCATGATATATACACGTGTTTCAGCCTACAGTTTAGACCTATTGTCTTGTGTATGATCCTCTGTCCTGTGTGACAGTGAATACCAGCATTATCCTCATTCTAATATGACTATTGAATTCCTCAGATTATTCAAAATTGTAATTAATTTTTGTCAGTAATAATAATAATAATAATAATAATAATAATAATAATAATAATAATAATAATAATACTGTAGTTCGCGTCGTTTTGGATATAACAATGAGGACGACTTGGAGCCAAGTACAGTATAATTGGGAACACAGCTTACTTATTTTCCAGATATCACTCAATGGCAATGACTAATAAGACATACGAACCTGGAACATACCTGGAGAGGGTTTCGAGAGTTCTTCTACTATCCTAGTCCGGCCTGGGGCCAAGTTCGACAATAGAACACAAGAAAAAGCGAAACTACAGGCGGCCTCTATTTGTCCATGCGCAGCGGCTCCTATTTTAGCCGATTTTAACATACAGTACATTGAAAAACAATCCAGCTGTCCCACGCCTATTATGTTACGGTTCTAAAATGCGCCACGAGTCCCAATTTTAATAACGATCTTCCTTAACCCATCGTCTTTAGTTTCAAGATGATTCACGAAGGCGTGCTCCAGATCTGGCATTGATGCGGGCAACTTGGGACTTGGGAACAGAAAAAAAAATAATTAAATGACACCATAAGGTATTCTACCCAGGAACACTGACGTACTAACAGACCCCTAACTGTGTTAAAGACGGAACTTGAACTTTACTACTTAAACACAAAATTAGATCTCTTCAGGAAGTGCCGGACTAACTGGGTTGTAATGGACATGTGGGCCGTTCCCAGCAACAGTCTGTTGGATCAAGCTCTCCCAACCCAAGCCTGGCCCCGGGCCGGACTTGGGGAGTAGAACAACTCCCAAATCCCACTCCAGGTAACCAAACCAATACAAAGTTAAGATAAACGACAGTTACGAATCTAATATACGTAAAAAACATACGTGAATAGCAGTAATTATACGCTACAGCTTATCATTCCCCTGAGTCTATTCGCCCTTCCTGTTCTATACATAACGACAAAGAAATTCAACGGGGTGGGCTTATGAACGTGGCGACGGCTACCCTGGTAGAGAGGAGGCTTGCTGCATGCGTTTTATCTTGTTTCTACCTCCTCTCCGTCACATATCGCGCTCACTCTCACGTTCACGCTCGCTCGCTGTGTACTCACCTATCTTCTTGAGGTTATCTTGAGATGATTTCGGGGCGTTAGTGTCCCCGCGACCCGGTCCTCGACCAGGCCTCCACCCCCAGGAAGCAGCCCGTGACAGCTGACTAACACCCAGGTACCTATTTTACTGCTAGATAACAGGGGCATAGGGTGAAAGAAACTCTGCCCATTGTTTCTCGCCGGCGCCTGGGATCGAACCCTGGACCACAGGATCACAAGTCCAGCGTGCTGTCCGCTCGGCCGACCAGCTCCCTTGACCTAGTTGAGCTTCGGCTCTTTGGTCCCGCCTCTCAACTGACAATCAAGTGGTGTACAGATTCCTGAGACTATTGGGCTCTTCTACATTTGAAACTGTATACGGAGTCTGCCTAATGCAACCAGGTATGATCACTGCCTAATGCATTCCATTTGCTAACTACTCTGACAATGAACAAAATTCTAACGTTTCTGTAGCTCATTTGTGTCCTCAGTTTCCATCTGTGTCCCCTTGCTGTTTTAGATTCAGCTACTCTGAACAAAGTGTCAGGCAGTACGGCCTATGGTGAGCCTATAGTGGACTTAACTGACACAAGAGCCCACGTGGCCCTTGTTCGTGTTCCACCCATGCTAAATAGTTTGTCCACCCTGTCAATTCCTCTGAGAATTTTGTAGGTAGTGACCATGTCTCCCCTTACTCTTCCGTCTTCCAGGGACGTGAGGTTGAACTCCCGTAGTGTGTGTGTGCGTGTGTGTGCGTGCGTGTGTGTGTGTGTGCGTGCGTGTGTGTGTGTGCGTGCGTGTGTGCGTGCGTGTGTGTGTGCGTGCGTGTGCGTGTGCGTGTGTGTGTGTGTGTGTGTATGTGAAAATATCCATCACTGTCACCTTTTGAATCTCAACCATGGCATGACAAATAACGCGACAATTCACCCCTGACATAACAAGACACAGTATACCTCAGCATCAAACCCACGT